GTGTGTGTGTGTGTGTGGAATTCACTCAAATAAGACCAGGCACGTCGCTGTGAGGATGAACACGAAATCCACATCCAAAGATGCCCGGCATCCATTCCTGAAGAGATGTACGGGTGCTACTGCTGGCACTGAGACAAGTGCTAGACGGCTGGCACGGACCAGTGTGTCTCTGCGTATGTGCACGTGTATGCATCATGCGCCTCTACCTTGAAGTTAGATCAACACGTCAGAATGTCTCAGAAACTACAGACTTCTCCTAGTCCTCAATAGCATTACAGATAAAAATAAGAGCATCATAGATATTACTAGTCAGATCCCACACCTCAGATGCTTAGAGCGAGCAGAAATCTATGATGCACAGACAAACAGTCAACACTGTATCTGTGTAAGAGTGCGTGGCACACTTCACTGCAAGGTTCCTTGCACTCCGGTCGTCCCAGATGTAAGGTTCTCTGACTCTCCAAGTATCGCCAGACTATTTCTGGGCCAGAGTGGATTCATAACTTCACATGCATCCACGATTCCTTTGCGGTGTGCAGCTTGTCCTCCCTGCCAATCCAGAGCCCCTCTCATTTTGGCTGGTAGAGAAACTGAACACGGGTGTTTCCAGCACCCTGCATCCCAAGCATGCAGGAGATCTCGTAAAATCCACCAATGTTGGGAGGAATTCGAGATTGATCCGTGCCCAGTACAGGAAGGCTAGTGGGCACAGCTTTGAAGCATATGCTCGAAGAATTTTGAGATTAGTGACGAGTCATTAGTCAAATCTGTGGTGGATTCACAAGGCCACAGGAACATGGGGTACAAATGCAGGTGTGGAGGGACATCAACTACATACTTGGCCAAAAATCTGCACACTGAAATTGGCCTCGACCTACAACGCGCAGACTCGTTCAAATGCTTCAGCACAACGGAAGGAGCGTGCATGAGATGCTCTCTTCCTGTGTGCATTCTCAGATTTCACCACGGGATTCGGGCGGGGAGGGTGAGGGGGCGCGGCGGCGGTGGGGGGAGGGGGGGGGGGGCAAGGAAAGGAAGAAAGAGAAAGAAAAAAGAGGGGAGAAACTGACAGCGAGTAAGAACTGCATGGCTTCCATCAGCTCGTGTCGTGAGATCGACTGGCCTCGATAATGAGAAGGTCAACCGAGGTACATGCGTGCTACTGCCGATAAAAAGATCAGAAAGGATAACAAAATGTTATGGGTTTCACGGAACTTTCACCCCTCTTGATGAAAAAAAAAGAGCACAGAAAGAACAAAAGCAATGACAGCAAAAAGCTAAAGGAGGAGGAGGAGAAGACAGCTTACATCATCATCTAGGGCATTGCAGTCACACCCCATTGAAGTGCCACCCGGCGACCCGTTATCTCCTCACCCAGTCAAAATTTAACAAAACTTATGTGAGTGGCTGTGATTCAAATTCGAGCTACCGTCTTCCCCCGAACACAATGCACCCTCATTTTGACTGTACCGGGCCGGAAACATACCTTGTATACGTTCATATTCAGGGTGCATTATATTCGGGGGAAGATGGTAGCCCCATCACTGGCCACTGCAATGCACTCGGTGCCACAGGGCCAAACTGAGAGGACAGAAAACCCAGTTAGGCAACCGGGTCTTTATCCATCCAAGAGTGACTTTCTCCATTGCTGTTAAACCACCAGTTCACGCCCCTGCCTGTCCCTGCTATTGCAGTGAACTGCACCCGGGCCTGCGCGCTTCGGCAGAGGCCCGGTAAAGCTTTGGGGCCTCTATTCTGGTGGTGCAATGGATGGGCGGACACCAAATGTGAAAACAACAAACACGGCAGACAATGAAAGCCGAAGTGCCAAGCTTCGAAAAAGGGACTAAAAAAGAAAAGAAATAAAAAGAGAAAAGAAAAAGAGAAACTTCTGAGGCCCGCCACTTGGGGGGTGGAAAAGGATTGTGAGGAAATAAAAAACCAGAAAAAAAAAAACGAAGTCGGGGCAAAAGAAAAGACAAAGACAAGAAAAAAAAGGATCTGAGGGCGTACTCACACTAGCAGTATCTCAAATGTATCTGACAGCGTTCACGGCCATACCTAGATGTATCTGGTTGCAATTCCGTCCAAAAATACGTAAGAAATCTGTGGTGTGAGTATGCCCTGAGTGTGGGTAGTGCCCTAAGCCCGCGACCAACGGGACAAAACGTCCTCTCAGTGATGTCAGGCACCCTCCTGCCGTGATAGGCGGGAGGAAACGTCAACTTCGTTTTTCCTTTTTTTGGTTTGATTTTGAGAAGCAATGAGCCAGACCCTCTGAATGTGGCCACAAACTCCAGAAACTTACAGTGTATCTTTGTGGAACCGACCGTATTTAGGGCATCCCTCCACTAGTCTCAACATGCAGAAACAACAAAAATCATGGCTGTGTTTTTTTCCATCTTCTAATGGAAGATTCACTCTCGTTTTGCACATTTGCAGAGTAGTGGAGCAAGGCCCTTAGGGCATACTCACACTACCACTTTCCAGAATGCATCTGACTGCAATTGC